TGTTACCCTCGGAATTACAGCACCACCTTCACCGCGGGCCACCTCTTTGACAGCCTGTGCACGGAGGAGCTGAGGCCTGGAGGTTATGACCCCGATGACACCATCACTTTTGAAGGAACCGGGGACCCATTACTCTGTCGGGTGAAGGTGGCTTCCCTCTTTGCCTTCAGAGCTTGCCACGACCGAGAGATCTGCTGCTTTGACGGGGTTTATCAGCCGGAAGTTAAAGGATCTTTTGTGGTAAGAGCAGAAACCATGGAAAGATTCCTGTTTTTTTTTTCCCATTGCATATTTATTTCTCACCTTTCCGTTTCTCTTCTGCTGACCTGTCTCCTGCTTTTATTACCTGCCCTAACACCTCCATGGTCTGTCCCATTCTGAGACACGCTGTCCTTCTGTTCCGCTTCCTCCCAGGCCTTTGCGGGATTCTTCTACACGGCCAACGCGTTAAACCTCTCGGGCAGCTTTTCCCTGAACGCCTTCAACTCCAGCACCTGGGATTTCTGCTCACAGGACTGGAGTCAGGTCAGTGTGTAAGGAGAAAGGAGCAACAGCGACACCCACAGCAGAGCAGGGTATATTCCATTGTGCTCATGAGTGCATATGTTCTGAATTTCGCCCTATGCTGTTCTGCTTTTAACCCCCAAAATGGGGCTATCAGGGAGCCATATCTGTGCCATGAACTAATGTTCTGACCACAGGCGCCGTGGTGAGAACCGTGTTGGGCACATGATAAGCACCCTGAACACTTAGAGACTGTTCTTACATGATGATGTTCTAGGGATATTTTTAATACTATATCATTGCGTTTCTTAATGCAGGAGGCAGCCGATTGATAGTTCTTTCTCATTGATGTTTCTCTCTCTCTCAAATCAATTTTTAAAAAACATTAAAATTTTTTTTAAAAATTTTAAAATAAATATGAAATGCTGGGTGATACAATTTTTTCAGCTAGTCCTTTGGTCCTAAGGTGTTCCAAAATGTGCATTTTAAAACCTGCCTGCCCGCCTTCCCCTCCCTGCTTTGACCTTCTCAGCTCCCGCTGCTGCTGCCCCGGTTTGATGAGGTGTACGCCCGCTCCTACTGCTTCTCGGCCCACTATATCTACCACTTGCTCGTGAGTGGGTACAAATTCACCGAGGACACCTGGCCCCAAATACATTTTAAAAAAGAGGTAAGTCAGAGCACAAGTCCTTTCCTCCTCTTCCTCTCAAAATAGAGAGGTTCCTTTGATCCCCAGGGGCCTCCCAGGAGGGATGAGGAAGAATTGGGAAGCGGAGTTCACCACAGACCCTTCCCCTTGAGCAAAGCATTGGAAGCCAAGGACCCGTGGGCTCTGAGTTCCTCCAGGCAGGACTTGTGTGACCCTCATGTTCCTAGCACTCCATTCAGCACATGGGCGAGAACCTGGAAGATGCTTGGTAAATGTTTGTTGAGTGAATGAATAAATATGTTAAGGATTTCATCCTAACATATTTTCATTCTAAAAAGAAGCCTCAAATAGAACAGTTTGTTTTTTTTTTTAAAAAGAGGATGGGTTTTAAAACAAAGCCCTGGCTGGTGTTGCTCAGTTGGTGGAGGGCCATCCCATGTACTGAGAGGCCACTGGTTCTATTCCTTGGTCAGGGCATAAGCCCTGGTTATGGGCTCAATCCCCAATAGGGGTCATGCAAGAGGCAGCCAATTGATGATTCTCTCATCAATGTTTCTCTCTCCCTCTCCCTTCCTCTCTCTCTTTAAAATCAATTTAAAAAAATTTTTTAAAAAGCGGGTAGTAACTAATCGCTCTCCATGTACGCAGATGTCAGAGTAAGATACAGGCTTTAGAGCTTGAGGGGTTAAATAGAATTTTCTCTCGGAATGAGCCCGAGGCACTGTGTTTACTGTCAAGAGTCCAGCATGGGCCAAAGCTGGAGCCCCAGCTGTTCCCAGGTGACTGCGGTGATGGGGCCTCGGACCTTGCTTTCGGGCAGCGGCAGCCTTGCTGACATGCCCATCCAGCACTATGTTCCCGGGTTCTGGGAGGCTTGTCTGGGTTCAGGAAGAGCTGGTGTAAAGCCTGAAGTATATCTGGAGTCAGTCTGTTCGGTATGAGCTTTGGCTAATTAGATTAAACCAATCAACATCTGGCATTAGGCCTGTGACTGGCTATTTTTACATCAATGAAATTGAATCATCTATAAGAAATAAGGATGTCTGGGAGCGTATAAGGGTTGTTGCGGGCATGTCCTCTCCCGGCGTGGCTTCGTGATCTAATTATCAGGAAAGTACAAGATGAAAACGGAGAACGACTTCCCACTGAGTACCCGCTTGGATGCACACAGATTTATGGTGTCAAGTTCCTTTCCTTTATTCATAAAGAATCGTATATCCAGCCAAATTAGTATCCGAATGTGAGGGCCTAAAAAGACTGCAGAAGACTGGCTGCACAAAGACTGAACATCAAAACTATATTTGGAGGAAGTAATGAAATAAGACTAGAAATAAATCCAGATGTTATAAAATATGTGAAGTAAGAATAAATAGTGTTGTGGCTTAAAATGTATGTTTTTTAAAAAAGAAAACTAACACCAAATAAAAAAGGAAAAGAGAAGAATTCATCCATACACCAGAGCAACCCAGAATTCAAGTATTGCTAATATTCAGTGTGATGGGGATTGGGCCAGGGGGTCATAGGATACAGGCACATTCGAGTGGCCTAAAATGCTAATTTTTTAAAGGGAACATGCACACACACAATTTATAAGGCAAGAAAGGAAAAAAATAAATATAGGAAAAAAGCACCAATTGAAATTTTTAAAGTAAGGTATTAGAAGTCCAAATATATCAACCATTACAATAATCCATAAATGGACCAAACCTACCAGTTAAAAGACAGACCTTGTCAGACCTGATTTTTAAAAATCAAATATATGTAATTTATAAGAGAAACACTTAGGCTTCACACATCAGGATTTGGAAAGATTGAAAGTTAAAAAAAAAAAAAGAAAAAGATTTTTTTTTTTAAACTGTCAGGCAAACATCACCCAGAAGAAAACTGCTGTAGCTATTTAATATCTGAAAACAATAGTCTTTAAGATAAAGAGCATCATTCACAATAGAGAGGATTACAACAGAATGACAAAAAGCTCATTTCATCATGAAGATTGCAAATTTGAAATATTTACCCATCTAATAAAACAACCTAAAAATGTGCAAACCAAAAATTGATTGAATTTACCAGAAGAAACTGACAAACCTTGTTTCTTAGAAACTGGCCCTTGGCTTAGCGAATGCACATTACCTTCCTTCTTTAGCCGCTGATACTGTACAGCCGTCAACAGACAATGGTTCACTGTCATCAACTCTGCCTCTTCCCACTTGGCCGTGGCGAGGTTGTGGGGACTAGTTCTGCCTTGCCTCTGCGGTGCTGGAGTTAGGGCCCTCGAGCCTTTGGGGGTCCCGGTGACTTGGATTGTAGCCCAGCCTCTGCAGTGTCTGAACTTGGGCACGTCCTCTGACCTCTTTTCCAGGGTGTTTCCTGCTGGTGGCAGTGTTGTGCCCCGGGTATGGCATTCCCACCTCAGCCCCTGCCCTGAGAACTCAACCATCTCCTCTACTTCACAGGTGGACAATAGCAGCATAGCCTGGTCTCTTGGCTACATGCTCACCCTGACCAACCAGATCCCAGCCGAAATCCCCCTGATCCGCCTGCCCATGAAGCCACCTACCTTTATGAGCGTCCTCGCCTTCTTCACGGGAGTGGCCTTGCTGTGCCTGGGATTCCTGGTGTACCTGTATGCGTTGTCTAGGAATCAGAGGCGCTCCCAGCATGCCTTGGACCATGCAGTGGATTCCGAGTGAGCCGAGTGAGCAGCTGCAGGAGCTCGAGGGCTGCCCAGGTCCAGCCTGGGTGACACCAGACAATGCGAGTGAAATGCCCATCTGCGGGAAACACGACCACAGTCTAATACTTAGGTCGTGTGCCCCTCAGATACGATGTATGCCAAAGCACCTCTTGGGGAGCCCCTCAACTGTTCCTTGCACACTGCTCCTCAGAGACCCCACCACCCAATGCTGGCCCCCTGGGGAACAGGAGAGACAGGCCCTCAAGGCCGGCTCTTTATTCCAGGGCCCCAGAGGAAGAGGAAGCAGAGGTTATGACATTTCCATGTTGAAGAATTGACCTCAGGGCACATTTTGCATCCTGTCCTCCCTTTAGAAATGCCGTATTCCTCCTGGCAGATGCCCACTAAGCATTTGACCCGATCAGCTATCTCATCGTATGGCTTCCGCCCACTGGTCCTTAACTGGGACTGTCCTTTAGCAATCCCATAAACATTGAGCTCCCTCAGGTTGGTAGAATATAGAATCTGGGGGAGAAGACCGCTTTACGCCCAAGGACAGTGGCCACAGCCAGCTTCTGTCGTGCAGGCAGAACGTGAAGGATGGACGCACAGCAAGTCTCCCAGAAAACAGCTGGCCATTCCCCAAGTGGGATTCTCTCCCGCTCAGGGCTCTGGTCATTAGATCGCAGCCGGTGTCTGTATCATTATCCTCACCCCCCCTTCACGTTGCTCCTGTCATCCTATGAAACATTTCCTCCCAGCGAGGGCATTGTGTCCCAGATCTTTTTGCCTTGGCGAGGCTTTTGTTTCAGGCCATCTTTCCAGAAATCGTTAGCGTGGTGTGCACCTTCTGTCCACCATCCCACAGGTATGCTTGATGCTGCCATAAGACGTCCTATTCTATGATTGGCTTACCAGTTCCTTTCCTGGGTGGTAGACCTCCCTGCGTAGCGGCCATAGTTCCTGACTTTGGAGAAAGAAGAGGAAGCTGCAGGGACGTTTAACTCCTAAGTGGGATGGGGGAGAACTCCAGCATGTCCGATGGCTACAGGCTACAAATCAACATGATTGCAGATGGTTGTTGGTAGCTCAATGTGGAATAAAGGACTCGGATTTTGTTTTGACTTGCAGGGTGTGTGTTTGTTACCTTGCACATGGTACTCCTTCTCCTAAGGTCCCACGGTAGTACTGATGAGAAGTTTTAAAAATTGAGAACATTTTCTTAAGAAGACTTGCCTAGTGAATTAAGAAAATGATGCATTAATATCACTTTTATTTCAGAGAGTTCAAAGGGCTTCCCTTTGGTAAACCTTTGGCTCCTTGAGATACTAGTAGTTGTGTTGACCTTATTTGACAGTCAAAGGTTCTGTGAGGCCACAGCCTGCCATTCCCCCCACCCCCACCCCCACCATTTAGATCTTGATTCCCACCCAGAATGGCTGCTCCATCCCAAAATGCACCTTTGCTCACAGAGTTCTCCCTACCTAGACTGGGTCATCCTCGAACCCATCCAAATAATGCATATTTCTCAAGGCATAATTTTAGCTCTACTTCTTTCACAAAGCTTTCCTTACACACACTATGGCCTGTCTCCTGGATCACCTTTTCAAAACTAATTACATCATAAATTCTTATATCATTATTCATCTTTGTGTGTGCATATGGCTTGTTTCTAATATAGACAGAAGGTACCCTGGCCAATTTGGGTAGAGTGTGGGCCCGAGGACTGAAGGGTTTTGAGATTTTGAGATCTTGAATAAGGAAAGGGATTCTTAACACACACACAGAAAGGCCTTAACCATGAGAATATGTGTGAAAACAAAAGAACTACAAATATGTTCAATATGGATGGATCTTACAAACATAGGGTTAAAAGCAAGTTTAATTCCATTTACGTAAAGCTCAAAAACTGGCAAAACTAAATAGAAGATCAACTCTAAAGAAAACCAAGAAAATCATTGCTCTTAAATTTGGGGTGGGGGGGAACAGAGGTTGTGTCTGGAAAGGAATAAACAGATGTCTTAGTCTGCTAGGGCTGCCATAACAATGGATGGCTTAAACAACAGAAATCTAATTTCTCACAGTTCTGGAAGCTGGGAAGCTGAAGATCAAGGTGCCAGCTGATTCAGTTCCTGGTGAGAGCTCTCTGGCTTGTAGACAGCTGCCTTCTCACGGAGTCCTCACAGGGCCTTGTCTCTGTGCTTGTGCAGAAAGAGAGGGTGAGCTCTCTGGTGTCTCTTTCTATAAGGGTACTAATCCCATCATGACAGTGGGCACCCCCTCATGACCTCATCTAACCCTAATCACGTCCCAAAAGTCCCATATCCAAATACCATCCCATTGGGGGTTGAGACTTCTAACATATGAATATCGGGGGCACACAAAAATTCAGTCTATAGTAACAGAACTTTTGGGGTGATGGTGACTGATATTCTATAACTAGGTAGTAGTTACAGGTGTTCCCTTTTTTCAACCATGCATGTACTTTCTGTATGTCCTATATGACATTTAAAAGATAAAATTATAGATCTGAGTTAACTCAAGAATTTGCTATTTGCTGCCTCTATGATCTTCATAAAGTTTTTAAATCTCTGGGGCTAATATCTACTAGTACCTCATGGGATTGTTGAGAAAAGTAAAATGTAGCATTTAGCCAGTGTCTAGCAGGGAGTATAGGCAATGAATAAGAGTTTTAAAAAGCCTTCCTTCCTTCCTTCCTTCCTTCCTTCCTTCCTTCCTTCCTTCCTTCCTTCCTTCCTTCCTTCCTTCCTTCCTTCCTCCCTCCCTCCCTCCCTCCCTCCCTCCCTCCCTCCCTCCCTCCCTCCCTCCCTCCCTCATACATTTGCCAAAAGTCTACTCTAAGCTAAGTAAGGACTCCTGAAACACATGAGACACGAAGGCCCTCTGCTGGAGCCATGGAGAAAATCTTTCCCAGGTTGGGTCCTTTTTGTTTCTACCTCATTAACGATGCTGAAAAAAATCATCAGTTCAAAAATATATATATATTTTTAAATATATTTTATTGATTTTTTACAGAGAGGAAGGGAGAGAGATAGAGAGTTAGAAACATCGATGAGAGAGAAACATCGACCAGCTGCCTCCTGCACATCTCCCACTGGGGATGTGCCCGCAACCAACGTACACGCCCTTGACCGGAATCAAACCTGGGACCTTTCAGTCCGCAGGCCGACGCTCTATCCACTGAGCCAAACCGGTTTCGGCGCAAAAATATTTTTGATATTTTAAAATACTGAGACAATCGGAAATCTGAACATTTGATATCAAGCATTCCCGCTAATTTTTGTTTACCTTCACAGCAACACCTAGAATAATGAATAACTGAAGATTGTAGCCTAGCACATTGATACATAAAATTGACCATCACATCTATGAATTGATTCAAAATGATTTGTAAAAGAGGATGTGGATGGGACAGGACTAGCCAATCCTCCCAATGATTGGACGAGCCAGTTGGGTGTAGCCGGCCTATCAGAGTTCTGCTTATGCTTGGTCTGATACTTTGGCTTCTGATGTAAGTAGCTGCTAATGATTATCTTGCTCATTTCCCGACGCCTACACCACAAGGTGGTCGGGGCTTACTTAGAGTTACCTTACCATTATCATAGAGCAGCGGTTCTCAACCTGTGGGTCGAGACCCCTTTCGGGGTCCAATGACCCTTTCACAGGGGTCGCCTAAGACCATCGGAAAACACATACATAATTACATATTGTTTTTGTGATTAATCACTATGCTTTAATTATGTTCAATTTGTAACAATGAAAATACATCCTGCATATCAGATATTTACATGACGATTCATAACAGTAGCAAAATTACAGTTATGAAGTAGCAATGAAAATAATTTTATGGTTGGGGGTCACCACAACATGAGGAACTGTATTAAAGGGTCGTGGCATTAGGAAGGTTGAGAACCACTGTCATAGAGAAATCTGAAAACAGCCTGGGGCTGCTTGGGAAGGGATCTCCAGCTGCTTCTTCAAGGAGAGTTGTAGAGTGAGGAGCACATTCTAGGAAAAGGGAGGCCAACTATATGAATAGCCGTGAGACCTGTAGCTATTGCAGAATGGTTGTGCAGGGCCTTGAATGCCAGGCTGGGTAGTTTGGACTTGATTCTGTAGAAGAGAGGATGAAAATGAACATTTGGAGGACTTTAAATAGGGTTGACTTAATCAGATGATGAACTTTAGAAAAATAATTTTGTAACTGGAGAATCCGAAAGTGTTTGCCAAAGTGTGTTCAGTGAATCACTGGGGAGCTTTTTTTTTTTTTTTAAAAAAAAATATATATATTTTTATTGTTTTCAGAGAAGAAGGGAAGGAGAGATAGAAATATCACTGAGAAAGAATAATTGATGGACCGCCTTCTGCACGTCCCCTACTGGGGATGCAGCCCACAACCTGGGCATGTGCCCTCACCAGGAATCTAACTATGACCTCCTGGTTCATAGGTCGGTGCTCAACCACTGAGCCACACCTGCCAGGTGGGGGAGCTTGTTTTTTAAAATGCTGATTCTTGCCCCTCCTCAGACCAGCAAGTCAGAGTCTCTGGTGTTAAAGCCAGAAAACCCCATTTTAAAGGTTGTTTTTGTGTGTGCGTTTTTAAGCTAACCTTTATTTGGGGGAAATAAATGTACCAGCCCTAAAGATAAAGCTTTGAATTTCCACAAGCTGAACACACTCAGGTAACCAACGCGCAGAGGAAACTGGCCACCAGCAGCTCAGCAGTCTCTCTTCACCTCCAGCCGCCGCTGCCTACACCGAGGGTAAACATGTTCATTTACTTCTAACAACCAAAGATTAGTTTGCTTGTTTTGAACTTCATATAATTGAAATCACATGGCATATACCCTATGTGTCTGACTTATTTCACTGTTATGTGTGAATGCGTCCATGTTCCGTGTACATGTGCTGACTCCATTATAAAGACTTCCACGATTTATCTATTCTCTTGTTTATGGGCCTTTGGATAGTGTCCAGTTTGGGGCTCTTACCACAACCAGACTGCTGTGAATGTTCTTATTCATGTCTTTTGCTTTGTAAATTATAAAGCAGGACGCCAAGGCCTAAAGATGAAGTCATTCGCTACCCACTTGTTGAGCCCCTTAGGAGGCACTGTGCTAAGAAAAGAAGACGGTCAAGGTCCTGCCCTCATAGAACTTACTTTAGTGGGTACAAAACTACAGCTAAATGGACGAAAGATGAGTCAAACAACTGTGGTAAGAACTCTGAGGAAAACAAAAAGCTGATCTAGTAAAGGGACAAGGGGACTGACCTTTTTTATGTGGCAATCATGCTGTATGAACAAAGGGAAAGCATTCTTTTTTAAATTGTCTAAAGTTTTACATTTGTCTTCTTTTCCCCCAATTGACGCTCCCCCCCGCCCGCCGCCCGGGAAGAGCATTCTTGGCACGGGAGATACCACGTACAAGTCATGGAGAAGGGGAGAGCTTGTCCTATTCAAGACCAGTGTGGCTGAAGCACAATGAAGGGGAACAAGGGGGTGCATGTAGGAGCATACGATGCAGGCCAGAATAAGCAGTTTTGATTTTATTCTAATAGTGTAGAAAGCCATTGAAATGTTTTAAACAGAAAGATGTGATTTTATTTATTGATTTAAAATTTCTTATTGATTTTTGGAGAGGGAGAGGGAGAGAAACATCGATGTGAGAGCAGCGATGTGAGAGCAGAACTGAGATGGGCTGCCTCCTGCACACCCCCTTCCAGGGGTCCAGCCGAACTAGCGACTCAAACCAGGGGCAACCCTTCAGTGCACCGGCCGACATCCACCCACTGAGCCACACTTGCCAGGGCATGATTTGTTTTTTAAAAAGATCCCTCTGACTTCTGAGCAGAGAATAGATTAAATGGATCAATGGAAAAGCAGATCACTTTAGGAGGCGGCTTGGAACAGTCCCAGGAGTAAATGCTGGTATAGATCTTAGAGGAAACGACTGAAATAGATGTGTGTCCTGATACGATGCCATCAAGGGCGCAGCATTTCTACCAAAAAGGCTGAGTGCAGTCGTGAGGAAAACCACAACAAATCCCTATCGAGAGACATTCCACAAAACAACTAGCCTGTATTTTAAAATGCCAAAATGTCAGTATTACCAAAGATAAAAGCTTAGGAACAGTTACTGATTAAAAAAACAAGACAGAAAAACTAGACATGGTAACTAAACACAACTTGTTTAGATTCTGGACCAGGAAAAAATATATATATATATTGCATTTACTCTAACAACTTTAAGTGGGGCAATTGATAACATTTAAATAGGACTGCAAATTAAAGGACTATTCGTATTACTTTCTTGATTTTGATTTTATTATGTAAGATATGTCTTTGTTTTTAGGAAATAACACATTTAATCGTGTAGCGATAAAGAAACATCACGGCTGCAATTCTCTCTCAAATCATTCAGAAAACGCAAACATAAAATGTCAACATTCAGCATTTATGGGAATTACCTCTATTAGCTTTGCGACGTTTCTGTAAGTCTGAATTACTCTAAAATAAAACGTTAACAAAATTACTGGAGTCACTCAGGGACAGAAAAAACATATCTAGCACTAAACCATGAGTAACCACGTTTAGACAAAAATCGGGAGAAGGGGGAGCAGTGGAAAGAAAGACGGAAGAATGTTAAAAAAAGAGCCAAGTGGAATGTGGACAAAGTTACACGGGAGTCAAAGCTTCTGTGCTCTTCACTCTAAACTGCTAAGCGATGACCTTCCCTCCCGCCACTCAGCGCCGGACCACCGAGGGCGAGCTCATTGCCTGGCTTCAGCGAAAAATCGCCCAGGCTCCGCCATGTTTTCCCAGTGAGCATGCGCGCGAGTACGCACGCACGCACGCACGCACGCACGCCCCAGCTCTAACCAATCAGCGCCCACGTCGGCGTTCCGTTCAGCGCAGGGGCGGGGCGACTTTCTGCACATGCGCACGGTTGGGTGGGCCTCGTTCCTTCTCGCCGAGCGCCGCCAACATGGTGAGTATCACTGCTGCGGGCTCCGGGGTCTAGGCCGCCCCGCAGCTGCACCACCGCCTGAGCGGGGCGCGGAATGGCGCCCAGCGGGCCCTACGTAGCGCAAGGTGAGGGTTCCCGGGCGAATGGAGCACGTAGTTTGCGGGCTTCCCGGACCCGCGGCCGATGAGCGCGTGGAGGGCCCGGCAGGCCCGGCGCGCCTGGGCTTACGCGTGCGCGCAGCCGCCGCCAAAGCTGGAGGGCCGGCGGCCTGGGCGGGGCTGGGACTGGCGGACCGGGCCGTGGCGGCCGGCGAGGCCCCGGCTTTTGCCGCCGTTCCCGCCTCTGCGAGTTGGTTATCCAGGTCGACCCGTGCACTTGGCGGGGTGTTTCCCTCTACGGTCTTTTTCGCTGCACTGAGCCTCTTTGCCTGTGAACTGCAGGACCTTGTAAATGTGGAGAGATTTTAATTAGTTTTGCTTTTCTCCCCCCGGCCCATTTTAGGTGTTCAGGCGTTTCGTGGAGGTTGGCCGGGTGGCCTACGTCTCCTTCGGGCCTCATGCCGGGAAGCTGGTCGCGATCGTAGATGTTATCGATCAGAACAGGGTAAGTGTAAGGAAAGAATCACAACTTCCCGCGGCAGTGGGTGGTGCTCTGTAATGACCCCGGAGGAAGGAGGGCTGTGGGTGGGCGATGGCGGTGTTTTAGTTTGGGGAAAGCAGGCAGGGCGCTGTAGGCGTTTTCAGGCACAGATTGGAGTGGGTCAGTGCCACTGGGTTTGTGTGTTGCCTCTGCCGCTTACACTAGCCAGCACCTTTAACTATGGCTAAAACATTGGTGAGGGTTAAATGAGTTACTATATATGTATAAAGGGAGTTTAGAACAAGCCGGGCATGTAGTATTGAGAACCACAAACTTAAGGGATTGACCAGAGGCTGTGAATGAACATTAAGTTGTTGGGAATGTAAGGATTGAAGACATATAATTGTCAAGTAAATTATATGTAGTTAGGTAATAGACTGAACTACTGCTAATAATAATTAATCGTTTTTTTTAAAAAAAGAATTTAAATAGTAGGGCTTGGATTTTGAAAGGACGTGTTATATGCAGACTATCCTGTTGAATGCGGTTAGGTTTTGCACTGAGGTCTTGATCTTATGTATTCTAGGCTTTGGTTGATGGACCTTGCACTCGAGTAAGGAGACAGGCTATGCCTTTCAAATGCATGCAGCTCACTGACTTCATCCTGAAGTTCCCACACAGGTAAAACCCACCTCCCAGCTTTGCTTGTGCTAGAGCAGCAGTGGCCAACCTTTCGGACCTCATGTTGGCGACCACTGTGCTAGAGAACATTTTCTTGGTTTACTTAAAAAAAAGTTTTTGTTATTTTACTAGTTTTCCCTTGAGAATATAGTGAACAGTGTTGAAGAATGGAAGCAATTCAGAAGAAGAATTTCCAGTGTAGTGGGCGGGCATTGTTTCCCTTTAAATGTGCTGTGATCTTTTCGTTCTCTGGCTTTGCCTGTGTGCAGATTTGCCATCCTCTTTTGTTTGTACCTCAGGATTTACACAGCAAAGACCTTTTTTAGGAATTCTGGTTTCCTGTCCATATTTTTTTTAATATATATTTTATTGATTTTTTACAGAGAGGAAGGGAGAGGGATAGAGAGTTAGAAACATCGATCAGCTGCCTCCTGCACACTCCCCACTGGGGATGTGCCCGCATCCAAGGTACATGCCCTTGATCGGAATCGAACCTGGGACCCTTGAGTCCGCAGGCCGACGCTCTATCCGCTGAGACAAACCGGTTAGGGCTCCTGTTCATATTTTAATCACTTCTAGCTCCAAAACAAAAATATGAGTTCTTGTCTCTTCCAATACTCGTTATCCTTAGTTGAATGTTTCCTATGTGTCAGAAGTATGGAACAGCCCTAGCTAGTTTTGCTCAGTGGTAAGAGTGTCGGCCTGCTGATGGAAGGGTCTTGGGTTCAATTCCCAGTCTCATGTATGGACCTGAGTTGCATGCTCGACCCCTGGCCCCAGTAGGGGCAAGTACGGGAGGTAACCACATTAGTGTTTCTCTACTGCCACCCCTCCCCTCCAGTCTCTCTTTAAAAAAAATCAATGGCAAAAATATCCTCGGGTGAGGATTTTTTTAAAAAGTATCATGCATCATTTTGTGACAGTTACTTAAAAGGAATTGAGAAAATCATTCTTTCTTGACATGCTTGATGTAGACTATGGACTTTAACTGCTGTGTTGCTGTACAGTTATCTCAACTGCACTGACAGTTGTAGTGGGACACCCACTGTAACTACTGGTTTACTTTCGAAGTGTACTGGATTTTACTGGGTTTATTGTGTGTTTGAGATTATAAGACATCCAAAGATGTGGTGTGCCGGGTGACATTTGTTCTCTAGAGACAACTAGAGCTAGAAGTACAACAAATGGGAAGGGTACTTTTGGGATTATTTTGCTTATGCTTTTTAACCTGAGGGGGTATCAGTTCTGCTTTTCAGAGGGCGAAAAGCTGCCCTTGGGTTTGTGTTGCTTCAAAGCTGATTTCATCTCTAGTCTTGGTTCTTTGTAGTGCCCGCCAGAAGTATGTTCGACAAGCCTGGGAGAAGGCAGATATCAATACAAAGTGGGCAGCCACAAGATGGGCCAAGAAGATTGAAGCCAGAGAAAAGGTAATAACTTACAGTCATTTGAATTCTGACCTTTTTTGGAGGGTTGGAAGGTAGTATAAGAGTTTTGTGTTTTGTTTTTTATAGAAAGCCAAGATGACAGATTTTGATCGTTACAAAGTAATGAAGGCAAAGAAAATGGTAAGTTTTTAAAATTAGTACAGGATTATGTTTTAACCCTAAACTTATTTATATGGTAATTCTGTTTGCCCATGCTTAGTAGAGCAAAGTTGATTATATGAGGGTCTTAACATTAGGGTTTTCTCTTAAACATATATACATATATGACAGTAGTTTCCGTATGCATGTTGTAAATATGCTTACATTGGCATTTTTCAGAGGAACCGAATAATCAAGCTTGAAGTTAAGAAGCTCCAAAAGGCAGCTCTCCTGAAAGCTTCTCCCAAAAAAGCACCTGCTGCTAAAGGTGCCGCTGCAGCTGCAGCAGCTGCTGCAAAGGTTCCAGCAAAAAAGGTGACCGCTGCAGGCAAGAAGGCTCCAGGCCAGAAGGTTCCCGCCCAGAAACCTGCAGGCCAGAAGGCAGCGCCTCCAAAAGCTCAAAAGGGTCCGAAAGCCCCAGCCCAGAAAGCACCTGCTGCTCCCAAGGCATCTGGCAAGAAAGCATGAGAACACGAGGGGCTACTATAAACGTATAATAAAGGTTCTTTTTAACACACTGGCCCATCTGCTTGCTGTGGGTGAACGTCTGCTGCGGGGCAGGGATCGCGAAGGATATTGATAGTAGGAAGGTTGATGTCATTGTTAGAAAATCAGTTCCTTTGTCTCATTCTGCCTGCTTTCAGGTAGTTTAAAGCCATCACACTAAGTGGTTAACTAGTTAATGTTCTCATGGGAAATGACGATTAGAACATCAGGTGATTTTTTTTTCTTGTACAAATATATTTTCCATATAAACACAAAATTCTAGCAGCTTTGGATGCTTGAGGGTTTAATAAGATATATTCTAAGTTCGGTTGCCTATCATTTCTAACCAAAAGCTGATTTCCTAAACCTGACTGGGAAATGGACAAAATCATTTTGGCTTGGTATTAATAGTCAAGTGATAATAGTGTAATAGCTTCTGTGGTAAAGGAAATGCAGTCAATTTTGGGGTACCTGGCCTGTGTGAGGGTTCAGGAGTTGTCTAGATAATTAAAATTATACCCCCTTTTTTTGTGTGTGCCACAGAATTTAGTCATTTATGTGTGCCATGAGATGAAAAAGGTTGAAAATAACTGGTCTAAACCAACTAAGTGGTGGTAGTGCCACGTAGGCCTAAGTAAGCCATCTTACTGGTTTGGTTTTACTGCTCTTGGGTTCATTTTCTGGTTGTCAGTTACTGCATCCTCTAGTGTTTCTTCCAGTTAGGCTTCATGAGTGATAGACTTGGCTTACTTGTCTGTATTATTTTGTCCTTATATGAACTATTTCTTACAGCATTTCTCATAGTAAATGTATGGGTTTTATACTCCACAGCAACCAGTGCAATTCTGACACTTGACTACCAAGAGGTTTAGAGGTCTGCTCCCACTTCAGATGCAATCACAAGTCCCAGGCCTTCTGAGTAACCAGCTCTAAATTGGACCGCCTCCTGAGGCTTGATAATTGACAGGGACAGCTCATAGAACTCCTTCCTGTTAACAGTTTATTAGAAAGGTTAAAACTTAACAGCTCTTCCCACTTCCAAGGCTCCCGCTGCGGGCGGACTGGCGCAGCCACAGCACCCGGGCAGCTCTGGCACACGGAGCAGTGATCCCCTCGCTGCCTGGCAGAGCGGCCCATAGTGGCAAACGCCAGAGAACGCTGGGTAAATCACAGCATTGTAACTTGTATGGCTCCAGGTCCCCGGAGGTTGGCCCTGCAGGACCCGAGCCTGGGGCCGGCAACTTTCTGCGAAAGTAGGGACGGTGGTCTCTGCGGGCTGGGATAGGGAACCATAGAGGCGAGCGGCTTCCCAGCTTTCTAGAGAGGAAGCGGTGCACGCACTTCCGGCTGGGCGGGCCGCGCTTCCCTAGAGGACCGAGGTCTCGTTCCCACGCTTCCCCTGCGCCTGCGCCGCTCGGATTAGCCCTCGGGGCAAGTCGGGGCTCGCCTCCCGGGCTGGCGAACAGGTTTGTTTCCAGCTCTGCCTTTGGGGTGAGGAGGTGGCGGGAGGAATGGGACCCGAGGCGAACAGAGCACATTCGCAGGGTGCGAGGCAGCATGAATTTTACCCGCGCCTCCTTATTTCTCCTCAGTCTCACCTCTAGAACCTCGAGGGCGGCATGGTCCAGGCCACGTGGCACCGGGTGAGCCAGCATCCTCTCAGCCTCTGTGGATCCCCATCCTTCCGATGTGTCAATGTCAGAAGCGTTCAGACCTGTTAGGAGTTTACTCAAGCCAAACTGATAATTGACAGGAAGCAGAACCTCAACAGATCGAGAAAATGCTCTGGAAAATGGTAGTTTTGCACCTTATTTTATACATTACAGCCAAAAGAGAAGGTGTAAGTGGGCTATTTGAAATCCATGGGTGATAGATTAGTGAGGCAGCAGAAAGCAAGGGGGGTGTGTGTGTGGGGGGGGGCGGATTGGATAAAAAGTAAAGTGATAGACACTTCTTTTACGTAGGTGGGTACAGGTTAAGGTCTACGTTTAACATGATAATAACTATGAGGGGATCTGTTGTCTCTACTGGTGTCCACTCTTTGAGGAGTCCAGAAAAAGAGCAATTACTTTGTTATTGCAAAGGCATGTTTTCCTGGTATGTTATCTTAGATGCAAAAAGACCAGAGACAACCTAAATTAAGGTGAGGATTGACCTTTGTTAGGGAAAAATGCCTTAGGCATGACTATGCCATACACTGCTTTTAGTTCAAAAGTTTTAATTTAAAACCATCCCTCTGTGTTACTTGAGTTTGTAAGGCTGCCACGCAGGCCTCCCCTGCGCTTGTCAGGTTTAGTATTTGGTCCCTTTTTGTCCACAGATGTCAGGAGAGTAGGTGTCAGCTCTGCATCCAGACCTTGAGTTGTCTGGCCCAGTGGCTTCCATTTTGAATCTGTCACAATTGGATGTGTTTGGAGAAGAGGAGGAGTTGAGGGGTGGAGAGATGAGAAGGCCCAAAGTAAGATAATTGCAATGGGAAAAAAGTGAGTATGGAGGGATTGACTGGGATAGATTTGGCATTGAGGCTGGAAAGTAGAAATTAACTGAAAAGTGGAAATTGCAACACTGCATACAGTGAAGACCCCTTTCACCCCATCCACAAGATTGTTATCCTTGGATAACACAATTCTAATAATTATTTTGTAGATCCCATTGGATTTTCTACATAGACATGCCATCTATGAATAAAGAGTTTTATTTTTTTCTTTCAAGTCTGAATGCCTTTATTTTTCTTGCCTATTTGCACTGGCTAGAACCTCCAGTTCAGTATTGAGAAGAAGTGGTGAGAGCAGCTGTCATTATTGCTGCTCTTTTTGCCTTTGTCTTTTTTCTCTCTGTGTTTCATTTGGTATTGCTATGCCTTACATGCACTTCTCCCTTCCCCGCCCCAACCCGTGCAATTTCTGATTTGCCGTTAATTTTCATCTCGGACATTGGAGTTTTCATATCTAGAAGTTTGATTTGGATTTTTTAAAGAAATATATTTTGTATCTATTTAATTTTTAAACATATGGTATACATTTATAATAACTACTAGAGGCCTAGTGCACGAAATTCGTACACTGGAGGGGGGGCTCCCTCAGTCTGGCCTGTGCCCTCTCACTCTCACAGTCCAGGACCCCTTGGGGGATGTCCACCTGCCAGCTTAGCCCCGATACCTGGGGATCGAGCTTAAGCTGGCAGTCAGACATCCCTCTCGCAGTCTGGCTCCTTACCGCCTGCCTGCAGCGGAGGCGGGAGAGGCTCGCACCACCACTGCTGTGCTCACCAGCTGTGAGCCCAGCTTCTGGGTGAGTGGCGCTCCCCCTGTGGGAGTGCACTGACCACCAGGGGGCAGCTCCTGCATTGAGTGTCTTCCCCCTGGTGGTCAGTGCGCATCATAGCAACCAGTCTTTCCACTGGTCCTTCTGCTGTTCGGTCAATTTGCATATTAGGGGTTTATTATTAAGGATTTTAATGTTCTCTGTTAGTGAATGCCAGGCATTGTTCCCTTCAGTCCTTTCAAAGGATCCTTTCTCTGGCTTTGGGTCATTTACTTACAGCCATGCCTTGATCAGTACTCTGTTAAATTTTCTAGGGGAACCGACTGCAGGTGACTTGTATTCTTTTCCTGTTCAGCTCTTTCCTCTCTGCTTTTCTGTCCTATAAATTCCAGCTGTCTTGGTCCCCTCAGACTCTACCACCATCTGCCAGGCTCTGTCTCAGTTTCCCCTCCCTGCATTATAGCCTGGAAACTTCCAGCGTAGTAAGCTTGGGGAATCATGGGGCTCACCTCTTTGTTTCCCATGTCTCAGGAATGGTCTTTCATTGCTTGATAACCAGTATCTTAAAAACTGTTGGTTTATGTAATTTTGTTCAGGCAGGAGGCTAATCGGACCATTGAATCCCTGTAGATGAGAAATGGAAGTTTTCCCTTAGCATTTTGAAAAACATTTCCCTTACTTTTGCCATGTAGTGACTCTCCAGTCTTCATGTATGTGTTGTTTTTCCTTCTCCAAAGCCTTTAGGATCTTTGTCATGTTCTCATTTTCCTGAGACTTCCCAATGGGGTGCCTTTGTATAGATGTTTTTCATTCATTGTCCTAAATACTTTGTGGGCCCTCCCTCCTCCCTGGTGCTTTTAAAAAGAGAGAATATTTTACCAAACTATCCTGAGCTCATCCTTGGTCCTGTGGTGTGAATTGATCTCCTTTTGGTTTGCTTCCCCCTCTGCCAGCAGTTAAGATTCAGCTTTCTCTGCTTTTCTAACTTAGATACCACCCATCTTTTATTTTCTGCCTTCTAACATTTTGTTAACACCTCCTCGTGGGCTATGATGTTACTATCACTTTAGTGGGATCAAGGAGGGAGTGGCGATCAGTACAAAAGTGCTGTGTGTGGGCTGTGTTTATACAGATGCCCCTGTGCATGTGCACACAAGGCCCAGGTAGGGGGAAGGACCCAGAGGGACTGACAGGTACACAGAGCAGGGCATGGCAGAGTCAGCGCAGAGATCCGCAGGGGATGACCACAGAGGGGTGCAGTGAGCAGGGCACTGCAGCTGAGGGCTGGCCCCTGTGGTGGGGAGGGTGCTGGCTCGCTGTCCTGGACTATACCACCTGACCCAGTGGGCCTCTGCCCCTGTACTTAGGCTCCGCTGCCCTCGCACAGGCGTGAGCCGGAACCTGTTGTTTCAGGAGCCGGTGAGCTTTGAGGACGTGGCCGTGTACTTCACTCAGAATGAATGGGACATCCTGGACCCCGTGCAGAGGGCCCTCTACAGGGAGGTGATGCTGGAGAACTATGCAAATGTGGCTTTCGTGGGTAAGACATTTCTTCCTCCTGTTATTGTCTGCCTCTACCTTTTGAGCATCCTGTCCTCTTCCTTCCTTAGACTTTGTGGGTCTCTAAACACCCTCATGGGCAGTTGCTCTAAAGGCTGAGCTCCCCAGAAGCTACTGGGTGGGGAGAGCCCTGGGTTCCCAGGTTTTGAAGTCGGCTGTCCCTCCAGCCCTGGGAGGGGCTCTGCTTTACGCACGGTGGGAAATGAAGGTTTCTTGGGAGCTCAGCAGAGCCCCTTTGTGTCCCTGTCCTCCAATGAGTGCGGGATGATTCCAGGACTCTCCCCCTTCTTCTCCCGTCTCGGCGGTCTTTTTCTCACTGAGGGTCTCTGTTCATCGCTTCGCTCTGTCTGCCCTTTTATCCATCCCAGTCACTTGGGGGAAAGCTCTTGGTCTTTTGCCCTAGTTAACAGTCTTTTCTGTCTCCCCGTCTTGATGCTCTTTATGGGAATGCTGCCTGGCCTCACCTGCCTCTCCCCCCCGGAGTCTTCATCCTAGGGGGGCTCTGCTGCGTGGTGATCTTTGGTGCCCTTTTCTGCACAGACTGGAAAATATCCACACGCTCAGCAATTTAGATCCACCTGCTCCTGTTTTCCCTGCAGCACAAGTCTTCTGTTTGCAACATCGGGGGCTGACGGCTGTGTTTTCTTTTTGTGATTCCAGGGGGTGAGACCAGAATCGAGAAGGACAAATCCACTCCAAAGGAACACGTTGCCAAAGAACCAGAGTCCCGCAGACTGACACCGGCAGGGCTGCCAGGGAATGTTCCCCAGGACCTTGATCTTGGGAGCAGCCCAGGGCAGCAGCACAGCCACTGGCTAGTTACGAAGGCAGAGTCAGAGAGGAGAAATTTCACTGATGGGTCATTCCAGTATCATGAGGCCCAGGCTACTGAGAGTGGGGAGAAGTGTGAGAAATTAACAAAAAACATTAGCGTCAACACACAACTCACTGCGAATCAGCCAGTTCCTGGTGGTCAGACACCTTACGAATGTAGAAAATGTGACAGATACTTCAGTCGAATGGCCGACTTCCACCGACATCAGAGATGTCACACTGGCGAAAAGTCTTTTGAATGCAAAGAATGTGGGAAAGACTGCAGATGTAACTCATATAACTCACTACCTATTCGGCACCAGGTAGTTCACACTGGAAAGAAACGATTTAAATGTAAAGAGTATGGGAAAGGCGTAAGTTCAGACACAGCCTTGATTCAGCACCAGAGAATCCACACTGGAGAGAAGCCCTATGAGTGTAAGGAGAGCGGCAAGGCCTTCAGTAGCAACTCCGTCTTCCTCCAGCGCCAGAGGTTCCACATGGGGAAGAGACTCTATGAGTGTGAAGAGTGTGGGAAGCAGTTGAGCTCCAACACAGCCTTGACTCAGCATCAGCGCATTCACACCGGGGAGAAACCTTTTGAATGTAAGGAGTGTGGGAAGGCATTCGTTCAGAAATTCACCCTGGTTCAGCACGAGCGAGTGCACTCTGGTGAGAGACCTTACGAGTGTAAGGTGTGTGGGAAAACCTTTAGCTGGTGTGGAAGATTCTTTCTACATAAGAAACTCCACACGCAGAAGGCATCTGTCCAGGAGGAGGACTAGCCACAGCCGGGCTCACTGCCTCTCCTGGTGTCTCCCCGTCTTCATGTTTTTTGTCAGTGTCATCACTGTTCTTCCTGGACTGTGCTCATTCTTTTTTTAAAAAAATCCTCACCCAAGGATATGTGTATTGATTTGAGAGGGAGAGAGAGAGAGAGAGAGAGAGAGAAACAGCGATCGGTTGCCTTCCATATGTGCCCCAACTGGGATTTAACCCACAACCTAGTTATGTGCCTGACTGGGAATTGAACCCACGTGGTGTATGGGACCATGTTCCAACCAACTGAGCCACCTGGTCAGGGCTGTACTGTACTGTGCTAATTCTTAACTGTATGCTTCTGTTCCTACAGCTCTGCGTAACTGGAATGCCCACTTCTCTCCTGTCCCAGTAAGATGTTTAATTCAGACTCTTGGCTTCCCCAAATTCTCTGAGCCCTTGTTTCCCCAACATGAACTTTCTTTAGAGTTAGAAAAGACAAAAGAACAAACCTCAAAACTTACAAACATGAAAGGAATGTAAGTTTCTAGACTGGAAGGCTATACTAAGTGCCCAGCAAGACGGATTAGAATACCAGGTTTGAAGAGATCCTAAAAAGTATCTAGAGAGAGAAAACAAAAAATCAGGGATAAAAAAAAAAATGGCATCCCATTTCTCAGTAGTAATCTTGAAAGTTAGGTGACTACGGTGCATGCCTTCAAAATTCTAAGGGAAAATCATTTCGCCCAGAATTAAAGACATTTCAGACCCTTTAAATCTTAAGACTTTTATTTCCCATGTATCTCTCTTCAGATGTGCAAGATTAAACAAGGGGTAAACCAGAAAGATAAATATGGACACCTATTACAATATGAATATTAGAAGTCTCTCAAACTCACAGAGGGGCCTTGTCCATTGGAGCCATCTGCATCTAGGACATTCTAACAGTTCAGGCTTTCAGAGACCTACCTCGGGTGCAGCCCACCCACACTACTTATTACTCTGAAGTTACTCTTGACCACTCAATTGCTGTCTGTGACTTTGCAAAAGTTGCGGTGTACGTACTCTGAATCAGATGCAAGATGCTATCTGTCTTAAATTTATCCATCTCATTGCTGTTCCAAGTGACCTCACAGCCGGGAACATTTCTTAGCAACTTCATCTAGTTGTTTTTTTTTTCACTCAGGAAATTAGCTACCACTTTTGCAGACAGCTTGACGGCCCACTGCAGGAAGCAGAGGGTTAAGTTACAGAAACTCGATGCTAATTTCTTTATCTGTAAAATAGGGATGACAATCTACCTCATGGTTCTGTGTTGAGGATTAGCTGCATTAATACATGTAGAAGTGCTTAGCACAGTGACTGGAGCATAATAAACAAAAATGTTATTTATTGGAATGTGATTGATATGTTTTGACTTACGTATACACCAATGAAACAATCACCACAAGATAATAAACGGCCAAACCTCCCAAATTTTGCTTATGCCCCTGTAATTCTCTCTCCTGGCTCCCCACAGGTAACCACTGATGTGCTTTCTGTCACTTTGCCTTCATTTTCCTTTTCTAGGATTTTATACGGATGTTGTCACACTAGGTACTTTTCTCTGGTCCAGTGTCCTTCACTTGGAATAATTATTTTGCGGTTCACCCATGTTGCATACATCAGTGGTTCATTCCTTTTCACAGTTTGTCCATTCACCTCTTTTTTTTTAATTTAAAATATATTTTTTTTATTGATTTTTTACAGAGAGGAAGGGAGAGAGATAGAGAGTTAGAAACATGGATAAGAGAGAAACATCAGTCAGCTGCCTCCTGCACATCCCCCACTGGGGATGTGCCCGCAACCAAGGCACATGCCCCTGACCGGAATCGAACCCGGGACCCTTCAGTCCGCAGGCTGACGCTCTATCCACTGAGCCAAACCGGTTTCGGCTCCATTCACCTCTTGATGGCCATTTGGGTTGTTTCTAGTTTCTGGTTGTTACATATAAAACTTTCGTGAACATTTGTGTTCAAGTGTTTGTAAATGTATATGCTTTTATTTATCCTAGTAAATGCCAGGAGTGGAATAGCCAGGCCATAGATAGGTATATTTAGGTTTTTAAGAATCTTCAGAATTGTTCTACAAAGTTGTGGCATTTACATTCCCACCATTGTATGAGAGTTCCACTCCTAATAGATCTTTGCCTACACTTGATATTTCATTTTAATTTTAACTATTCTGATAAGTGTATAACGCTATCCTATTGAGGTTTTAATTTGCATTTCCCTAATGACTGATGCTATTGTGCATATTGTCAGGTGCTTACTTACTTTCCATATGTCTTCTTTGGTAAAGTTCATATTTTCTGCCTTTGTTTTAATTGGGTTTTCTTTTTATTGATATGTGAGAGGTCTTTATATACTATTGACACAAGTCCTCTTTCATAGATGTGATTTCCAAATATTTTCTCCCTGCTTGTGGTTTGTCTTTTCATTCTCTTAACAGTAGCTTTTGAAGAGCAGAGATTTCAATATTGACGAGGTCCAGTTTTTCAGTTCTTTAATGGATTGTGCTTTCAGTGTCATATGTAAGAAATATTTGCCTTTCCCAAGTTTATAAAGGCTTTTTTCTATTTTTCCTTCCTGTTTTTATAGTTTAAAATTTTACATTTAGATCTATCATCTGTTTTGAATTAAATTTTGTACAGGGTGTGAGGTATGGACCTAAGTTCCTCCCCCCTTCCCTTTTTAAATGGATCACCTATTGTAGCACCATTTTTTTGAAAGCATGGTTCCTTCTCTTCTGAATTGCCTTTGCACCATTGTCACAAATCAGTTGTCCCTGTCTGTGTGGGCCAAGCACTAGATTCTGTTTTGTTGCACTGATCTATTTGTCTATTTTGATGCCATTAACATACTGCCTTAATTAAAGCCATGTAGTGTCAGTCATCCTACTTTGGTTTTTGCCAAAGTTGTTTAGGCCATTCTAGGTCCTTTGCATTTCCATGTGAATTTTAGAATCATTTTGTCTATTTCTACAAAACAAATTCTAGGATTTTGTATTGAATCTATAGATCAGTTTTGGAATAACTGACATTGTAACTATTTAGATAGTCTTTTGACTCGTGAACATTGTAAATGTATTCATTTATTTAGATCTTAATTTCTTTTAGCAGTGTTTTATTCATTTATTTAGATCTTAATTTCTTTTACTGTTTAGGTCTTTTATATGTTTTCTCAGATTTATGTCTAAATATTTCATATTTTTGATGCTCTAATAAATAGTAAATTCCTAATTTTCATTGATGGTATACAGAAATATAATTAATTTTTGTATTTTGATCTTTTAGCCTGCAGCCTTGCACAACTCACTTATTAGTTCTAGAGACATTTGTAGATTCCATAGGCTTTTGTAACATTGACAAAGCCTTTTATGTCTTTTCCAATTTTGGATGCATTTTCTTTTTCTTGACTTATTGCATGGGCTAGTGGCTGGGGATAGTGTGTTTTTCTGTTGATCCATGAGTAGATTCCTTGACAGCTGCAAAGCCTAACGTTTGCCATCTCTCCTGATTCACCTTGCCATGTAGCTGCCTCTGGGTCAGTGCTTCCTGCACTCTGTCCCTCTGGTGAAGCTGTTCTGGGAAAGAACAGGACTAAGCCATGTAATATAGGGCATGTCCTGTACACACAGGATGCCTGGCAGCCTTAGTCACCATTATTTTGGTTGTTAAATGAATCTGCTCCAAAGGTCCCCCACAGGCCTAGGTCCTAGGAAGGAGGGGGCAGGTGTAAACAGAGACATAGAAGCATAGGACAGACTGACAACTTTCAGAGGGAAGATGGGTGGGTAAGTGGGTAGAGATTAAGCAAAGAACTTACATGCATAACCCATGGACACACAATAGTGTGGTGAAGGCCTGGGAGGAGGTGTGGGGTGGAGGGGGTTAATGGGGAAAAAAGGGTGACATTGTAATACTTTCATCAATAAAGTTAAATTTAAAAATAAAAAGGCAGGTGGAAACCATGGTTTAGGAACCCCAAGCAGGATCCTTGGCTTAGGCCCCTAAGAGATGACAAACAGGAGCCATTCCCTCCACACCTGCACAGCCCAGGTGACCCACGGAGTAACGGCGGCCAACAGCCGGTGGGGCAGTCCGTCACCCGCGGCCCCACTGCGCCTAGAGGCCGAGGTCTGAGCGCAGCGAGGCTGTATCCGAGCCTGGACACCCCAGTCCCAAGCCTGCAACAAGGGTCGCAGCTGGCAGGGGACCCCCCGAACCCCACCAGCGACAGGCGGCGCGGGCAGGGACCCGCTCCCAGCCCCACCCCTTCCGCGGCCGGCCCAGTCACGTGGGGGCGGGCGCCGGGACCACCGAGACGGGCGGCCTCCGGCGGCCTAGAGGGGCGCTGAGCGCACGCGCTCGCTTCCGCGTCGGCGTTTAGCCGCCAGCTTTTCGCGGTTCGGCGAGGAGGCGTGTGCGTCCCAGCGAGTTCTCCGTGCCAGGTCCGCCCGGTGCCGGCCTCCTCACTTTCCCTGGCGCCCCGAGCCTGGTCCCGTTGGTGGCTCGCGCCTCCCTGACCCGGGTCCGGGCCTCGCAGACGCCGCCGAGGGGGCTGCGCGGCCTCCGGAGCCCGGGCCAGCCCCTGCCCACCGCAGCGCGACCCTCTTTTCCACCCCAACAGCCCCCGGCGCCCGCTGCTGAGTGTCCGTGTTGGGGTCCCTGCTTCCCTGACGTTTCTGTGTTCGGGGTCTCGGCCAGCATCACCCCCTAGAACGCCGTTTTACTCTTTATCCGCAGCCAAGCACCCTGTCCCGCCTTTCCACAGGCACCGTTTGTGGGTCCATGTCGTGGTCCCTGTAAGAGCTGCTTTGGGGTTTTAGGTGACTCTAGGGGCTCGCCTCGTCTCGGATCTCAGCAGCCCTGGGACTGGGCGGGCAGGGGCGGGCCTGGCTGAGGTCCAGGCGAGCACTCCCCGAGGAGGTGGGGCGACCAGCCGGAGGGGCCTGCCCGTGCTGCTGCGGGGTGCAGACCTGAGCTCCCGCACTCACGGCTCGTCTTCTCTTAGCTTCTAAGGTTCTTGCTTTTCCACACCCAGAAGACAGTGCCCGAAGCCAGGGACACCAGCCATGCGCCAAACAACTGGGCCTCAGGTGAGCCGAGCTTCCTTTCCGTCTGTTAAAAAAAGCACATTAGCGCCCGGCCGGTGTGGCTCAGTGGTTGAGCGCGGGCCTTATGAACCAGGAGGTCAGGCTCCAGGAGGTCACGGTTGGATTCCTGATGAGGGCCCTACCCTGGTTGTGGACCCGATCCTTGGTGGGGGACGAGCAGGAGGCAGCCCATCAGTGATTCTCTCTCATCATTGATGTTTCTGCCTCTCTCTCCCTCTCCCTTCCTCTCTGAAATCAATACAAATTTTTTTTTTTTTTTTAAATCACAGTAGCTCTCAGTTGATCAGGAAAGGACCAAAAAGGCCTAAGGTGGCCAGGCTCTGGTTTTCTCTTTGAGTAAATACCCGGGGGAGGAAATGAGACTTTTGTGTATAGAGAGGGATGAATTTGGATGTGTAGGTTTAAGCATAAAAGGGGGACCCAAGCCTAGAAATTCTCCTTCACTGTGGAAATCCAGATCATGTTGTACAGAGAAAAGTCACCTGCTGAGGTCAGAGAAATTCTTCATTGAAGAGATTGCCCCAGAAATAGGAGACGTATCCCAGAGAGACCAGCATTGTTCCTCCCATACGCACTTTCTAAATGCTGGGTGCATAGTATGGAATAATGCAGACAAGTTCTCTTTTCTCATTAGCCAAATAGACAGGCTGCAAACAGATACACAAGATACCATAATTACATGTTGCCAAAGCACAGTGCTTCTCAAGAGTGTGGTCCACTGGCAGTGTGGGCATCACCTGGGAGCTCATTAGAATTGCAGAGTCTTGGGCCCCATCCTAGACTCCGTCAGACTGGGGAGGAGGATAGCGGGGTGGGAATCTGCTGTGAAGGCCCTTCAGGGGGTTTTTATATACCTTCTCAAATTTGAGGCACCTCAAGGAAGCTACCTCTCCAGGGGAGGCCTCCTAGAGGTAGGATCTCATGTCAAGGATGCGATAGAAACAGTCTTGGGAACTGCTGAAGAGAGAACTTTCCAGAGAGAAGGACAGCAAATGCAAAGCCCCTGTAGTGGGGGGTACGGGGGAGGGGAGCTGGGTGGACTTTAGAAACGGGGAAGTCAGAGAAAGTTGTTCAGTGTGAGACGGGGGACGTAGGCACATGTCTGGTAGGTCACTATGAAGACTTTGGTTTCTACTCTGGGTTCACTGGGAAAGCACTAAAGAATTTTAAAAAGGGGAGGTGACATGGTTAGATTTATCTGTTTAAAAGATTTTCCGTGGTGGTGAGTTGTTTGTGGAAGGGAATTGGTCAGTTGCATATTGTAGATCAGGTAAAAGATTAAGTATTGCCTTTTTCATTTGTAATTAGACTTCATTTTTTAGAGAAGTTTTAGTTTCATAGCAAAATTGAGCAGAAAAAGCAGATCCCATGCGCTTCCTGCCTCCACACATACATAGCCTCCCCCATTATCATTGTCCCCCATCAGAGTGGTACCTTAGTTAAAATTGATGAACCTACATTGATGCATCGTAATCATCCAGAGTCCATAGTTTGCATTAGGGTTCACTTTTTTTTTGTTATTTTTTAAAATATATTTATATTGATTTCAGAAAGGAAGGGAAAGGGAGAGAAAGATAGAAACATCAATGATGAGAGAATCATTGATTGGCTGCCTCCTGCAGGCCCCCTACTGGGGATGAAGCCCGGAACCCCGGCATATACCCTGACCAGGAATCGTACTGTGACCTCCTCGTTCATAGGTTGATGCTTAACCATTCGGCCGCACCTGCTGAGCAGGTTCATTCTTGGTATTTTATATTTTATGGGTTACAAACGTATGTGACATGTATCCACAATTATAGCATCATACAGAGTGTTTTCATAGTCCTAAAAATTCTTTGGGCTCTACTTCTTCATTCCTCTCTCCCTGGAAACCATTGATCTTTTCAACTGTTGACATTGTTTTGCCTTTTTCAGAATGCCAAATAGTTGGAATTATATTGTATAGGCTTTTCAGATTGGTTTCTTTCACTTAGTCATATTCATTTAAGGTTCCTCTATGACTTTTCACGGCTTGATAGCTTATTTCACTTTAGTGTTGAGTAATAAATATTCCCTCGTCTGGATGTACCACAGTTTGTTTTAGACACTTACCTACTAAGGACATTGTGGTTGCTTCCAAGTTTGGGCAATTATGAGTAAAGCTGCTGTAAACTTCTGTGTGCAGGTTTTTGTGTGGACATAAACTTTCAGCTCACTTGGGAAGATACCAAGGACGTGATTGCTGGATCATATGGTAAGAGTATGTTTAGTTTTGTGAGAAACTGCCAAACTGCCTTCCAAAGTGGCTGTACCATTTTGCACCCCCACCAGCAATGAGAGAGTTCCTCTTCCACTCTTCCAGCGTTTGGTTGTCAGTGTTCTGTTCTAGATTTGGCTATTCTGATAGATGTGTATCTCATTGTTTTAATTTGCATTTCCCAGATGACATATGATATTAAACATCTTATCATATACTTATTTGCCATCTGTGTGTTTTTTTAATTTTTAAATATTTTTATTGATTTCAGAGAGGAAGGGAGAGAGATAGGAACATCAATGGATCTGTGCCCAGAGACAGGGCACTGCCAACCTTGTCTGAATACAGGTGGTTTAGAGAAGAGACTGGAACAGGCAGGTTGTGGGTTTTCTTCAACAGAGCTAGCTTTTTGATAAAGTAAGAAGGTATGAAAAGAAATTTGCAAAATGCTGGAAAAACTTTTTTTAAAAAATATATTTTTATTGATTTCAGAGAATAAGGGAGAGTGAGAGAGAGATAGAAACATCAATGATGAGAGAGAATCACCGATCAGCTGCCTCCTGCATGACCCCTTTGGGGGAATCGAGCCCACAACCTGAGCATATATGCCCTTGATCGGCCTCGAACCCGGGACCCTTCAGTCCACAGGCTGATGCACTGAGCCAAACCAGCTAGGGCTGTGCGTGCGTACTTTAGATGGGCGGAGACGGGGTGAGTGGCAGCTACCTGTAGTGGTTAGTGTATAGAAAATAAGGTGACCAGAGTATGGAGTACTTGAGATAGGAGGTGCCAGAGGGACAGATCCACAGGGGTTGATGCAGTTACCAGGCAGAGAGCCCCAGATGCCAGGCTATGAGATTAGGATGACTTAGAGCTGAGCAGATGGGAGTGCACTGGGGTTCCATGTTTGAAGTGGAATGACTGGCTGAAGGCGATCTTGATAGAGCAGACCTTCCACGGGGCTCAGAGTTGGGGACCTGCAGTTCAGGCTGCCTCCTTCTGCCCCTCACTCAGAGCTTGAGCAGGAACCTGTTGTTTCAGGAGTCTGTGACCTTTGAGGACGTGGCTGTGTACTTCACCCAGAATCAATGGGCCAGCCTGGACCCTGTGCAAAGGGCCCTGTACAGGGACGTGATGCTGGAGAACTATGCAAATGTGGCTGCCCTGGGTAGGTCCCTCTCATTGGCTCTTCGTGATAGTTTGACATCTTTCTCAGATATTTGGGGGGACTCTAGTAGCCCTTGGGTTTGACTCTGCGGGGGAGTTCTGCAGTCCCAGCCTTTGGAGATGCTGGGTGGGGAGATCCTGGTGCCCTTTGGTTTTGAAACTAGACTTCCTTACACCTCAGGGAGGAGTGAGATTCTGGGCACTGAGTGGAAGGACTTCCTGGTGCCCTGGGTGACCTGTTCCTCCATCCTTCCATTGTCCTGGGGTTGTGGGTCCTCCTCTCTGAGGAGAGTCTCCCAGGATATCAGTGCATATATCCTTCCTGAGGGGCTTTCCTTTCTAATAGCCAGGGCAAGGTTGAAATTTCCTTGGAGCACGGCTGTCTCCCTGTCATTCCTTTTAGAGCCCATCCACTTTAAGCCCATCCTCAGAACCCTTGGCTGGCTCACTTGGTCTCCGAGGCGGTCCATTTCTCTCCCCTCCCAACTAGCCCATTAGGAGCTGGGCCAAGAGAGATCTCAGGAAGAGGTCTGAACATCTCCCTCAACTTGTCTGTCTTTTTTTCTTACTGAAGTGGCATTTCCAGCCCCCAAGCCTGATCTGATCTCCCAGCTGGAGAGAGGGAGCGCACCCTGGGGCCCCGATCCTTGGGAAGCAGAGGTTTTGCGAGGCATCTGTCCAGGTGAGTAAGAGAATACAGCAGTTTCTGGCTTGGCCTTCCCGGTTTACTGGAAATGTTTCTTCTGCAGCAGAAGACAAAGCTCCCTGTTGTCCATCAGGCAGTAGTCGGTGCACTCTGACCTCCACTGAGTTCCAGCCCCGAGCCCAGAGAGACCAGTCCCTGGAGTGTGTGGCCACACACTGTCGGCACACACACGTGGCCGTGCTCCTGCAGAAAGCTGTGACCCAGGAGCTCCTGAACCACTTTCTTTCTCACAGAGGAAATACTTAATTTCATGCCAGTTTTCATGGCAGCAGAGGAGTAGGGTTTTTGCCATATTTTAAGGAAAATTTGATTCTGTGGGTCAAACTGATTTCTTTGTGCCACAGCTATGGCTTTTATTTTAATTTGCCTTTATTGGTGCAGTTTAAAGATTCCTATGCCATAATATTTGGGTTTACATTGTATTTGTCCTATTTGGGGTGGCATAGGAGAAGGCAAGGCACATTCCCCCCACCACGGCACCCAGCACATACACACAGCCTCTAATTTCCCCGAGACTGCTTCCCAGTCCTGGGAGCTTTTCATTACTTGGTTTTCTTTCCTTTCGAAAGAAGGTTTCAGGCCTCACTTCTCACACATATTGTGATTTTGTAACTAATGGTTCGTTTAGTAATGATGCCACTATGGCATCTCCAACTTCTGTTCCAGCTGACTTTCTGGAGGAATCTTTTATCTCAGGATATTACGTGGAACATTCAAAAATGGAATTATTAGGCCATTATTCAGAATTTAGAATTTGGGTGGTTTCCTGGCCTATGGGGGCGGGGGGGGCATTATGATCTGTTGTTTGCTCACTTGTGTTCCCAGCCTGCTCCGCCTCGTCATGCTAGAGCTGACCTCAGAGCAGTCTCACTGGTCTTTTTCCTCTTCCGAGTCTCTCTCTCTAAAAAATTTTCCATTTCTGCTGATCCCTCTTATCTGTCCTTTTCTTTTCTCTGTCCCCGCTCATGCCTTCTTTCCTTCCCATTTTTTTTATTTTTACTGATTTTTTTTTAATCCTCACCCAAGGCTATTTTTCCATTGATTTTTAAAAAAATATATTTTTATTGATTTCAGAGAGGAACAGAGAGGGGAGAGAGAGATAGAGACATCAATGATGAGAGAGAATCATTGACTGGCTGCCTCCTGCATGCCCCCTAATGGGCAACCCTGGCATGTGCCCTTGACCAGAATGGAACTTGGGACCCTTCAGTCCACAGGCTGACACTCTGTCCACTGAGCCAAACCAGCAAGAGCCCATTTATTTTTAGAGAGTGGAAGTAAGAGGGAAAGACAGAAATGTTGATGTGAGAGAAACACATTGGTTGGTTGCCTTCTCTGTGAGCCCCAACCAGGACCCAGGCCAGGGAGGAGCCTGCAACCAAGTTATGTGCCCTTGACCAGAATCAAATCAGGGATCCTTTGGTCCTCAGGCCGATGCTCTATCCACTGAGCCAAACCGGCTAGGGCTCCCTCTCATTCTTGAAGTTCTCATTCTGCCCATTTCACCTGCCTTAGTGCCCCCCACCCCCAACCCCAGCCTTCCTTACAGGAGGCACATCCTGTTTCCGATGTCATTACAGTTGTATTTTACTACTTTTCTTTTTCTCTCTTGTCCTCTATGGATGCTTATAGCCATTTTATGGGTATGTTTTTTAAAAATCGCCTCCTACAAGAGAGAATTAGGACCCCTGGATTCTGCTTTCTGTCCAGCTCAGTAATTTGGGGTGCCCATGGTTGCTTTGGTCAGGTGATGAGTCCCGGATCAAGGATGAAGAGCCTGCCGTAAAGCAGGAAGCCTCCGGAGAAACAGAGCGGCTCAGAGTGCCAGGAGGTGGACTCAAAAATGTTTCTCAGCGCCTTGAATTTAAAAGCAAGGCCACGTGGCCCACTTTCAGCCTGAATCCGAATCTGATACTTCGAGGGGGAATGAAGTTCTATGAGTGCAAAGAATGTGGGAAAATCTTCAGGTACAACTCAAGGCTCATTCGGCATCAGATGAGCCACACCAGGGAGAAGCCCTTCAAATGTAAGGAATGCAGCAAAGCTTTCAAGTCCAGCTACGACTGCATTATACACGAGAAGAACCACATTGGGGAAGGGCCCTATGAATGCAAGGAGTGTGGCAAAGGTTTGAGTTCCAACACAGCCTTGACTCAGCATCAGAGGATCCACACGGGGGAGAAGCCCTACAAGTGCAAGGAGTGCGGCAAGGCCTTCCGCAGGAATGCAGCCTACCTTCAGCATCAGCGCTTACACACGGGGGAGAAAATCTATAAGTGCAAGGAATGCTGGAGAGCCTTTGGTTGTAGGTCACTTTTCATTGTCCACCAGAGAACTCATACTGGGGAGAAGCCCTACCAGTGTAAGGAGTGTGGCAAGGCGTTCACACAGAAGGTAGCCTCCATTCAGCACCAGAGGGTGCACACTGGAGAGAGGCCTTATGAGTGTAAGGTGTGTGGGAAAGCCTTCAGATGGTACAGCAGTTTTGTTCAGCATCAGAAGTTGCACCCCGTGGAGAAAAAGCCCGCCCTGGCGAGTCCCCAGTGCCCCTCTTCAGCCTTGTCGCCGGGTCCTCTCCAGAGCCTGTGCTTGGCTCCCGCTGTGGCCACACCCTCGCTGACCTTCCCGCAGGCTGTGCTCCTTCCTACCTCTGGGCCTTTGTTCGTGCTGCTGCCCACATCTGGAATGCCTTCGCCACCTGTCCAAATAGTGCAGGTCTTCCCGGGCCTTGCTCCCACTGTCAAGCCTTCCCCGGTTCATCTCGCCTCTCGTGAGCTTTATCTTGCCACGCCCATGGCGCTCACGCCCAGCAAATCTCCAACCTAATTGGAGTTTCATTTGTATTTTTTTCCTCACCTGACATGTGTTTCAGCTGTTTCAGCGCACACTGCATTGTAATCTATATATTTAAAGATTGTGTTTATATAGTATGTTGTCTTTTCTTCGGGGGATGGAAATACTTGATCTTTGCCTTGGCCCCTTTCTGGCTTGAATAGTAATGGCTGTATCTGTGGGAGTGCTGGTCGGACACTGGGGTGTTAGAGAAGTTTGGGAGAGAGCACATCCCTGTGTTAGGCCATTAGAGAGAAGCAACCTGAGAGAAATGGAGGAGGGTAGAGAATTGTAGTAAATTTGCAACAACAGACTTTAGAAATGAGTGCAGATTGTTGAGAATAGTTCGAGATGGTGTAGTAACGCAGTTGAAGTTGCATTGTCCTCGGCTCGGATCATTGAGGATCTCATACATCTATGCCAAAGCTCGTGTGAGATAACCAGTTTGATTCTCTGCCTTCCCCCAAACCAGTGTCCGTGGTGGAGAGACTGAGAAGCAGGCTGGCAGAGACCTCCAGGGAACATCAGCAGACCTGAATCTAAGGTGTTAACTGTTCCTTAGAGACAAAGCTATTCTAAGATAAAGTGGTGCTTCCCTAACACTAGTGAGATTCACCACAGTTGATGCCACATTGGTGGGACCATTAAACAAATCCACTTACCCATTCTCTTAAAAATATTGGGTATCTACTGTGTTCCAGGCACCGTAGGAAAACCAGGGAAATGATGGTGGATGTCTTCACCCTCCTGAATCTTACAGTTATTTGGGGAAGAAAGTGGGACAGATACTTTAACAGATTATTCAAATGTGAAGGAAATGTGTGGGGTGTTGTGCGAGAATCCAGGAAAAAGGAGGGCCTGAGGGAACAGCAAAGGTCCTGAAGTAGGAAGACACATGGCTCATCTCAGATGCTAAAGGAAATCCAATCTGGCGGGGGTAATAAGTGAGGGATGGAGAAAATAGTACAGTGGGGCCTTGACTTACGAGTGTCCCGACTAACGAGTTTTTCGAGATACTAGCCGTCTCTCGGCCGATTTTTTGCTTTGAGTTGTGAGCTAAAATTCGGGTTACGAGCCATCTTCAGTTACCCCACCGCTAGTTGGCGCAGCAAACGTCACAGTGAACGCCACAACATCAGCCCAGCATCACGTGTCTCACTCGTTCACTTTTTGATTTGACATACGAGTAATTTGAGTTACGAGCTCCATCACGGAACGAATTAAACTCGTAAGTCAAGACCCCACTGTATAACCCAGTCGTTTTATTAGCACAACTCACTCATTACACACAGATTCTTCAAGGTCCACCCTAAAGCAAATAAATGTGGCCCAAATATTTTACCCAAGCATTTTATTTTGAAATTGTTAAACCTGTAGAAAAGTTGAAAGAATGGTACAATGAATACCTGTATACCTTCCCTATAGATTAAACAACTGTTAGCATTGTTTTCACATTTGCATTTTCTATCTTCATACGTACGTACGTACGTATAGTTTCCTAACTCATTCCAAAGTAAGTTGCAGGCATCAGACACTTCGCCCCGGACTTCTTCAGCTGTATCTCCTGAGAATTTAAGGCAGTCCTCCCACATAATCACAATAGCACTCTCACACCCAAGAAAATGTACCACAATGTGGGGGTACCATCTCATTTACAGTCCCTTAAAAAATCTGATTTCCTCTGTGCCTTTTCTAAAGCTGATTTTTCCCCCCAATCCAAGATCCAATGAAGGTTTCCCATGGATTTGGTTGTTACATCTCTTCTAGAACAGTCCCCTGATTAAAAACAAAATGATACTGACTTTTTAAAAGTTGGTTTACATATACTGAGGTATATTTTACACGTAAATGATTCACCCGTTTCAGGTATACAATTCAATGATTTTTTTAGTAACATTAAACATGACCATAAATCAGTTTAACATTTTCATCCAGTAAGGTCCCTCCTGCCCAAGCAACCACTAATCTACTTTCTGTCTCCATAAATCTTTTTATGAACAGTTCCTATTTTTTATTAAAAATTTTTTTTAAATTGATTTCAGAGAGGAAGGAAGAGGGAGAGAGAGAGATAGATCAATGATAAGAATCATTGATCAGTTGCCTCCTGTATGCCCCCTACTGGGGATTGAACCCACAACCCAGGCATGTGCCCTGACCGGGCCAGTGACCTCCTGGTTCATAGGTTGATGCTCAACCACTGAGCCACACTGTCTGGACAACAGTTTCTATTTTTAAAAAGTGCTTTTGGGCTTTCTAGTTACAATATGATGTCCATACTTAGCTGTTACTTCCCAGCCCTGGCCCTGGAATCAACCATTTCTCCAAGGAGTTCTGATGTGGGACATGATACTTAGAAACCAAGAGCTGGGGACCAGATGTGGTATCTTGAACATGGATGGCCTGAGGCTGGGATTTGTACATGTCAGCTAGTTCAGGGCTGGGGGGCTGTTGGACATTCACCTGGCTTTCATGTGAAAATGCAAAATGAATGATCAGATGGATCTCTGCGATCTTGGTGCTAAAATATGACAAGGCATTGATTTTTGGTTCTTATTTGAACTTGTCGCCATTATGATGTGTGTGTGTGTGTGTGTGTGTGTGTGTGTGTGTGTGTAAGAAAAGAGTAAATAATCTATGATTGGCTGCCATGTCTAATTCATTCGATTTCCAAATAACTGACAGAGTGCCTGAATGTTGAAAGCTTCAATAAGTGCTTTTTAAATAAATTACCAAAGCATCTTTGTATAAATAGTTATTGCCTTCATCATAATTCATATATACCTCGCCTCCTCAAATAATTCAATTTGTTTCTATTGAGATGTAGTTTAATGTCACCAGAGGGCTAAGCAATATCGAGATTCATGAGCTATAAATTGTAAAAGAGGCCTCATTATGTATTAAAATACATCGTAATATTTGTGGATCTTTGTTTATAAATTGAAGAAATTATTGCCATAATTATAGGATTACAGCAAAAGTGATCTTAAAATAATTAGTGTATATTGGTAGATAAATGTTTGTCACTAGCAAGAGGGAAGTGAACAGTGTGAGAAGCAGTAAGTTTAGTCTTTGTTAGTGCAGAAAGGGGCAAAATTCAGCATTGTTTATAAACTTACCTGTGCCTAGATTTTAAGCAAGTGGCATTTAAAAAATATATTTTTATTGATTTCAGAGAGGGAGAGATAGAAACATCAGTGATGAGAGAATCATTGATTGGCTGCTTCCTGCATGCCCCACACCGGGGACTGACCCCACAACTGGGCATGTGCCCTGACCAGAAATCGAACCATGACCTCCTGGTTCATAGGTTGACACTCAATCACTGAGCCACGCCAGCCAGGTGAGAAAGTGGCATTTCTAAGAGTGAAATTGTCATCTTAGAGAGCACAGCGAGCATTAGCCATGGAAGCAAAGGGAAAAGAAAAAGATGGTTGGAGTTATTTCAGTTCTTCTAGCTGGATGCATATATACCCCGCCTCCTCAAATAGTTCAATTTGTTTCTATTGAGATTGACTTGAGAGGTCTTCTGACCTTTCTGGGATGTTAGTAATCCAGAGAGGGGATTGAGCCTGTTCAGGTCTCCACCCTCATTTTCACCCCATTTGACAAAAGATTCACACAGTCCCCAATTGTTTCCACATTTGGTCCTCCTCCCCTTCCTCCTCCTCCTCCTCTTCCTCCTCCTCCTCCTCCTTCTCCTCCTCCTCCTCCTCCTCCTCCTCTTTCTCTTCCTCCTCCTCGACCCTATCTAGCTAGCTATCTGGCTATCTCTAAATACTTCCATGGGTATATCCAAGAACAAGAATCTTTTCTAACTGTAACTTCAATATAGTTATCAAATTCATGAAATTTAACACCGATCTAATACTATTTCCTACTTTATATTCAGATTTTGCCAACTATCCCATTAATGTTGCTTACAGCTATCTGTATTTCTAATCCAGGACCACAGATTACATTCAGTTCTCATGTCTTTCTGGGGCCCTTGGATTCAGAACACGTCCTCAGCCTGCCTTTGTCTTGCATGACTTCCACTTTACCTAATTTGGGTTTGTCTAATGTTTCCTCATTATTAGATTCAGATTATGCATTTTGGCCCCAATATCCCAGAAGGGGTAATGCGTCCTCAGTACATCTTATCTTGAGGCATACCTTGTGGGCTGATTTCATTATTGAAAATAAGGACGTTGACCATTTAGTTAAGGTTGTGTTGATTAGATTTTCCACTGTCAAATTACTCTTTTCCCTTGTGTGGTTAATAGGTACTTTTGTGGGAGGTATTTTGAGTTTATGTAAATATACTCCTTAGCAAACTCTCACCTAGTCTTGCCTGAGTCATACCCTGATTTCTAAATGGAGATGGTATGGATCTATCAGCATCATCTGTGAAGCAGAAGACAGCACCTGGATCCAGTTTCATGATTTTATTAATTATCCTTGGCAGGTGAAATGGCTGCAGAGCGCCAGCATGCTTCACACTCTTTATTCAGTAGACTGGCAGCCCAGCCAGCCAGGTGAGAGCTGCCAGATATTTTTAAATGGAGCTATAAACAACTGCAGGGGAAGACAGAATAAATTCAGGCTGAGCCTGGGGCCTCTGAGTCCTCAGGTGATGGTTCTCCTGTGACTCGGGGCCAGGTTGACCCTGTAGGTGATCCGCCACTATTCTTAGGACTGGGAAGACCCTTCATCCCTCTGTTGAATTCCTGAATATTTATTTTCAAATTCTACTTAGTTTCTAAGGGTGAGGTCGTTTCCTAGGGAGAAGCTTCACCTCCCCCGCCCCACCTTTTTTTAAAAAATAGATTTTTTATTTCAGAGAGGAAGGGAGAGGGAGAGAGGGAGATAGATACATCATTGATGAGAGAGAATCATTGATCAGCTGCCTCCTGCATGCCCCACACTGGGGATCGAGCCCACATCCGGGCATGTGCCCTGACTGGGAATCAAACCGTGACCTCCAGGTTCGTAGATTGTCGTTCAACCACTAGCCTCACCGGCTGGGCAAGCTTCCCATCTTCACGAAGAATCCTTGGACGTATAAGGAACACGTACTGGTCGTACCACCTGCCCCTCCGGCGCCAGGCAGTG